ATGATTAGATCAAATAGTAATCCTCTCCTGAGAGCATGAAAACTATGGGAGGTAGGCTTTATTATTTTTTCATATTGTTGATTGGTGGAAGGAGAGAGAGGTCTATTGAACTGACTAGATGGGGAAAAACAGGGATTTGAGCAATGGAGGTGGCAGAGGCCACATGCTTCGGTGATTTCTGTTTTCAATTAACCAGGAGACAAAGGAAATCAAGGGCCAAGGAGGGCAGCAGTAGCCAGTCCCCACCAGGAAAAAACGTGTTTCTGAATCGCTGAAACCTCTGAAAGAGTTCTCAGGGAAAACCTTTTGGGGCTCCTGTTAGCAGATGAACCTGCAAAAGACCCAGGACCCTGTGCTTAATGGGAATGTGAACAATCCAAAGAGGAAAGTCCAGAGCTCTCTGGATGCAGCAGACGATCTGGGGTTCCTCAGCAAGAGCCAGGCCTGGCCCAGCCTGTTCTCCTGATGTCAGTCTGGAAAAGTAGGCAACTCTTGTTAACCAATACTTTCAAAGAATTGTTTCACCAGACTTGGGATTGGAAAGGAGATAAGTAGTTTTAGGTGTGGAAGTGCTTATTCAATTTTTTAGATCTGTACTGACTGCATTTGAGAGAAAAGCCTTATTGGGTGATTTAGTTTATTTTCACTAAGCAGACAGAGAAGGAGTTATAGGTAGACCAATAGATACATACATGCACACAGATATATATAAATATGTATATGACAGTTTATTAGCCCAATTCAGATTTCAGCAACTGCACATACTATTTAAATTGTGTGTCAGCTTGAATTAAGGGCAGGGGCCCTTTGTGGGAAGAGGGTTGGGAGTTGGTTGCCTGGTTTTTGGTGTGCACTGGGTGTATGTGTGGTTTTTTTAGTTTTCATGTCTTTGGATGGTAGTATAATTGACATGCCATAAAATTCACCCATTATAAGTGTACAGTGTAAGTTTTAGTCAATTTACATAGTTATGTAGCCATCACCACAATCTAGTTTTAAAACACTTGCATCACGCAAGAACGTTTCCAATCATACCCATTTGTGGTCAGTCTCTGTCCCCAGCCCCAGCCTGCACCTGATCTGCTTTCTGTCTTGAGTTTTGCCTTTTCTAGAAATTTCGCACATGGAATCATACAGTGTGTAGCTTGTGTCTGGATTCTTTCACTCAGCATGATGGCTTTGATGTGTATCTGTGTTTTTGCTGGGAGTGGTGTCCCATCATGTGGATGGATACATGTGGATACATTTTGTTCATTCATCTTCAGTTTGAGGGACATTCCAGTGTTTCTGGTTTGAAGCTGTTATGGATAATGCTGCCGTGAGTGTTTTCATGTGGGTCATGTTTCAGTTTGTTTTTGGAGGATTCTGGGGCAACCTCCTGAGGGTTTCCATGACACCTGGCAAAGTTAAGAAAACAAGGACGGACTTTTTTGAGACTGTTATTATTCCAGCCTCCTGAAAACCACACACTTGGATCTGCATTTGCCCTCCTTACCAAGCAGTTTTAGAAGCAGTGAGAAGGAAGAAGCCTGCGGGCAGGTCACAGTCCCACCGGCCTGAGAGCAGCACTGCTTCCCAGGCTTGCCTTACTGTAGATTTTGTCCTTCCTTGTCACTTTTTTCCCTACTGTGCATAAAGCTAATGCAAAGGGAAAGTGGACTCATGCTAACCAACCGATGATAAACCTGTTTACATACTCTGAATGTCTTTCTATTTCTCCGCCATGTTTTCTTCAACATTTTTATCTTTTTTAAAGGATACAGTATAAACTCAATATGAAGAAAAAAAAACGACAATCAAACATAGGAGTTACTGTTTAATCAGAACAAAAATTCCAGTTTTGCAAGAAATGAGTTCTGGAGTCATATGGTGGTCAATGCAAGTGTACTTAATGCCACTGTGTACACTTAAAAATGGTTATGATGGTAAATTTCATATGTATTTTTTAAAGGAATTTTTAAAAATCAAACATAAAAAGGAGATAGTTACAGTAAAAATGGGAAGTAATCCTTTACTATGATCTTTCTCCCAAGAGGTAGCCATGGTTAACAGCTTAATGATTAACCATCCTTGCAGATTTTTTCACTTACATTTATAAACATGTATTTGCTTTGTAGCTTGCTTCTTTTTACTTTATAATATATCAGCCATATTTTCATGTCAGCATATATGTGTCTGACTCACTTTTTTTAACTACTACAAAATAATCAAAGAAAAGGCTAAACCATAGTTTATCAGGACCTGTGGGTTGCTTGAATTTTTGCTCTTTCAAAAACTGAATATTCTTGTTCAAGTATTTTTGATAAATGCTTTGTATTTCTTTAGAAGAGTAACCATGGACATGCTCATTAATGGGCAAAAAGACATTTAAAGATCCTGCCAAAGTGCTTCCTACTGACATATGTGTAAGTGTCAGTTTACACCACATACTCACCAACACCACACATTATCAGTACTTACAATCTAGATAAATCTGATAGGAAAATAGAAATTATGTCATCTGGTTTTAGTTTTAATTCTCTGATTATTAGTGAGGTTGAGCATATTTTCCAATGTTTATGTGGCCATTTTGGTTTCATCTGTGAATTGCCTGTTTATATATATTTGCCCCATTTTTTATTGAATTCTTTATATTTTTCATATTGATTTATAGGAGCACTTATTTATTGCAAATATTTTCTTTCAATCTATATCTTGTCTTAACATATAATTTTCTCTAGGGTATTTTTTGCCATTAAAAATGTTTAAATGATTTAAACATGATTTAAATGATTTAAAAATGATTGTAAAGTCAGCCTTATGTGTCATAACCTAAAGGCTTCCTCTCTTGCTTAGAAAGGGCTTCCTCTGTAAAAGATAACAAAGTTTTCTATTGTGTTTCCTTCTAATAGCTTTGATTGTTATCTTTAGATTTTTAAATACAATATGCCTTTGGATATAAAATCATATACCGTGCATTTCACGTACCAACATTTCACTCATTTAAAATGTACAAGTCAGTGGTTTTTAGTATATTCAGGGTTGTGCAACCATCACCACTGTGTAATTTCAGAGCATTTTCATCACCCCATCAAAAAACCTTATCACGCATTAGAAGTCTCTTCCCATTTCCCTCCAATTCTCCCAGTCCTCAACAACCATCAGTCTACTTTCTACCTCTGTGGATTGGCCTGTTCTGGACATTTCATGTAAATAGAATTATACAATATACAAAATACATGGTACTTTGGGACAGTTTCTTTCCTTTAGCATATTTTCAGGGTCCATCTGTATTGTAGCATGTATCAGTATTTTATTTCTTTTTATTGCCAAATAATATTCCATTATATGTATATGCCACATTTTATCATGGACATCTGAATTATTTCTGTTTTTTGGTTATTATGACTAATGCTGCTATAACCATTCATGTACACATCTTGGGGTTTTTTCCTTTGACTTTTTTAAATTGTGCTAAAATATACAAAATATAACATTTGCCATTTTAATCATTTTTAGGTCTACAGTTCAGTGGCAAGAAGTATAGTCACAGTGTTGTGCAACTATCACCACTATTTCCAGAACTGTTTCATCATCCTATACAGAAATTCTATACACATTAAACAAACCTCCCCATTTTCTCCTTCCTCCAGCAGCTAGTAAGCTCTATTCTACTTCCTGTCTGTATGAATTTGTCTGTTCTCAGCACTTCTATAAGTGGAGTCATACAATAGTTGTCTTTCTGTGTCTGTCTGTTTTCACTGAGTTTTCACTGAACTAATGTCTTCAAGATGCATATATGTTATAGCTTTTATCAGAATTCTTGTCCTTTTTAAGGCTGAATAATACTCATTGTATGTATATACTTCCTTTTGTTATTCATTCACCAATTGATAGATATTTTGGTTGTTTCTACTTTTTGGCTATTGTGAATAATGCTACTGTGAGCATTGCAGTACAAATATCCATTCAAGTCCCTGTTTTCATTCTTTTTTCACTATATACTTATGAGTGAAATTGCTGGATCTTATTCTATGTTCAATTTTTTGATGAACTGCCAAACTGTTTCTTATGGAGGCTGCACCGTTTTACATTCCCATGAGCAATGCATAAGGGTTCCAATTTCTCCACATTCTTAGCAACGTTTGTTATTTTCTGTCTTTTAGGTTAGATTGATCCTAGTGGATGTGAAGTGGTATCACATTGTGGTTTTGCATGCTTGGATTCTTTAATCTATCTGTATATTTTAGATGTGTAAGGCTTTGTGATTTTCTATCTTGTTTTCCAAATGGCTAGGCATTTTTAATACTATTATAGTGTTGAAAGAAAGCTTCTTTTGCTTATAAAATGCCATTTTATTTTATATTAAATTACATACTTTCACTAGGTCTGTTGCTAGATATTGCTTTATTGACATTTTGTCCATTGCCATAGCAATAACACACTATTTTAGTTGCTGCCACTTTATTATGTTTCAATAACTGAGAGGAAAAGTATCTTCCCAACATTGCTATTTTTCAAAATGTTCTTGGAGATATTTGAACATTGTCTTTTCCAGCCCAACTTGAACAGCTTGCATGAAATTCCACTAAAAACCTGTGTCCTTGTCCACTGAAATACAGAGGGTGGGTGGTTAAGATTCTGCTTAGAATTACACAGAGTCTACAGATCAGCCTGGGGATTCCTTCTCCTTATGTTACTTACCACATAAACCATTCCATTAGCTGTGTTTCCCACCAACAGAAGTATGATAACAAAGGGAAAATAATGAAGTCTAACTAAGATGGGTCAGTTTGGCCTCTTAAAGAAGCTCTGGGAAATATTTTGAGAAAGTTCTTAATTCCTAAGTAAAATGAACTGGGGTAGTGGAAAGATAGAGGGGTTTCTTTCAGTTACCTGAGCTAAAATTTATTGCATCTGGTTAACAAGAATTGACCTCAGTTATTCTAAAGCTTTTGTATCATGGGATGTAAATATGCCCCATCACACACACATATGCACATACCTGTTCTTTTCTCTAGTATGATGCTGTCCGAATAAACCAACTCTATGAACAAGCCAGGTGGGCCATTCTCTTAGAAGAAATTGACTGCACAGAGGAAGAAATGTTGATCTTTGCAGCACTACAGGTATGAGAACGTTGGTACCTTCCTCTGGAAGGAAACAAAGAAAATTTGTTCTCCTTAAAGTTTGATTTTCTTTCTACTGATTTTTTCTTTGAAAAGGAGTTGAAATTTAGTGTAGTAAATTTAAGTTTAAAATATTCCTCATAAAAAAATAAAATAAAATAAAATATTCCTCATAACCAACCCATGTATAATCTTATAAGGCATCAGTCTTGCTATCCTCATTGCTTCCACACTATAAGGTTAACCAGTGATGGAGAAGAACTGAGTTGGAACATGACTAACCATAAAGTAATTTACATTAAAATGTCATTTTCCCTGCATACCCGGGAGATCTCCTTCCAGGAGATGTTCAGTATTTTCTTTCTTCATTTGTGTTTCTAATAGTCCTAAAACCTCTGTTTCTGTTGTAGTATCACATTAGCAAACTGTCGTTGTCCACTGAAATACAGGATTTTACAAATGAGTCTGAGGTTGACGAAGTAGAAGCAGCACTTTCTAATTTGGAAGTGACCCTGGAAGGCGGAAAAGCAGACAACACTTTGGTATGAATATTTCTGATAAGTCAGAATTGTGGCTTTGCTCTGATTGACAAATATAAATGAGCTTTTTTATTATAAATAAGGGAATATTTTGTCTGATTTTGAAGAAAAGAAAATACTCTCTTCCTCAGACAAACTTGAACCTGACTAGCTTTTCTCGGATCAGCTCTGTAAGTGACTGTAAAGTATTTTTGTCACTCCCAATGACAATTCTTTTGTATTATATTTCTTCTTAAAGATAAGCAAGCTTGGTATGAGGGAAAGACCGGTCCGGTCTCCATTTCACTAGAGTGGAACATGAAATTGGCCCTTTAACTGAAGTCTAGAAGAATGAAGTAGCTGTGAAAGTAGAGAGAATGCTTCTCAGATACAAAACCATGTGATCTGTTGACCTAGTCATGCATTTCTCTGGGCAAGACTGTACACTGTAAAAAGTTCCTGAACCCTTTTGACTTTAGGAAATGAAGAAACACTCTCCAGTAAAACATAAAGTAATAACACTCCTGCTTCTTATCCAGCAAATGTGGCTGAACTGTCATCTTTATAATTGCGGTGCCCTGCCTTGTTTGATTCATTCGTTGGGAGCCAGCCTTTTGTTTAACTTCTTCTATCATTAATCACATTGAATCAGAGAGGTAGATTCATTGTAATTGGGTATAAATAGTAATAGATGTAATGAAGCATTGTATTGTATTTAATGTGTGTTCTCTTATGATTGAATTCTTTAAAATAGGAAATTGGTATAATGCAAAAGCAACTACCTCATACAAATGAAATTCTCAGATTCTGTAGAGATCCAGGCCCTGAACCACATTTATGAGACCTGGGCCCCACGAAACTGGATTTCTCTTTTGTTTACTTCCTCCACTAAATACTTAACAATGGAAAAGTCATCCTTCTTAGAACAAATGGAAAATTCCCTCTCAACGCCCTCAATATTTTTATGTGATGCCAAACAATAGTCTTTTCAGTTTGAAAATAGGCACCAACCTATACCGTAGAATGAACTTTGAACCAGATTCCTTCTGAGAATCAGTAGGAGTCTATATATCAGTAAACTATCTAGATATAGCTAATCTTATACACTCTGATGTAAAAATTATGAAATATTTTGTTTGTACATAAAAGTAGTAGTTTCTAACTCAGATTTTTAAGTTGAATGATACTGTATGGTCAGTTTTTTGTAATCTTTTTTCGTTTGAGTAATATATGACACAGAAAGTGAAAAAATACAAAAATGTACAGCTTAACAAATCAGTATTAAATTATCAGCCAAGTTACCACCCAAATCAAGAAATAGAACTTCACCAGTTACCCCCAGGATCCCCACAGGTGCCTAATCTCAGTCCCAGCCTCTCCCACCCTACCCCTGAGGTCACTCCTGGAAATGTAGCTAGTATGAATGAGGAAGTGAGTTTTTCATTTTATTTCATTTTAATTAATTCTTATGTAAATAGTTCCACGTGCCAGTTGGGATAGAGTACCAGCACCACCTGTCTAATTACTGCTTGTCAAATGTTATCTGCTTTTCCTCAGGAGGACATTACTGATATCCCTAAACTTGCAGATAATCTCAGATTATTTAGGTAAGTCACCCTTGAAGAGGAAAGAAGTTACTCATAGCAAAATCTTGCAGGTAAAGAGTGTAGGAGTTTAAATTGAACATCCATTAGGCAGGTTCATGGTTGAAAGGTAAGAGCACAAGCTTTGGCATCAGACAGATAATGGGTGGAGTCCTAGCTCCATAGTGCACAACAGCTGGATGATCTTAGGCATTCTTGTCATGTCTCTGAACCTCAGTTTCCTGATCTATGAGGTGGGGATATACCTCCTCTTGGGCATGTTGGGAATATTAAATTAAATGATGCGTATGAAGCATTAAACATGGTTCCTGGCCCATTAAGTGCTGGTATAGATATGGTCGGTACTGGTGATCATGAACACGTATGCCAGACTTTTACGGTCCATATGCTCAGGGCTCTGATACCATTTGAAGGCTCTTTTATGATTTAAAAGCAAGTGGTCTCTAGAGCTTTGATCCCAGACTTATAGAGAGTTGGCTTCCCTGGTGGCTCAGAGAGTAAAGAATCTGCCTGCAATGCAAGAGACGTGGGTTCGATCCCTGGGTCAGAAAAATCCCCTGGAGAAGGGAGTGGCTACCCACTCCAGTATTCTTGCCTGGAAAATTCCATGGACAGAGGAATCTGATGGGCTACAATCCACGAGGTCGCAGAGTCAGACATGACTGAGTGACTAACACACACATATACACACCTTAGTTTATCTACCTTCACCTGTTAAAGTATTTCTGAAAAACCCCCCAGTCACCTCAGATGACTCTGAAACTGTTAAAAGGAATAGAAGTTTTTTACTTTCTTCATGAAGGACTGCCACATTTGTGATGGTGCCAAGGTGGGTTAGGATGAAAGGAGTAAGGTTCATTTGAAGTTCTATCAGTTACTTTATGGTTTGTTGACTTTTCTTAACAAACTGACACTTCACTTAGTTGGCTTGAAAAGAAACACCGGTTGCTTTTCTTACCATGATTCAAAGAAAAACTTGGAAAGAATGAGCAATGAATCAGGTATAAATGAGAAATAAGAGTCCAAAGGTATTTGTCACTGGGTTTCTACAGGGTTTTTTAATGTGATCTTAGCAGATGGGCCAAACAATTGGGTCATTCGTTTATCTTCTGTGGCGTAAATAGTTGTAATCATGCATATCATTACAGTCAAAATTACAGAAAAAAATAATAATTTGAATCCACAGATCTATCTTTAAAAATTATTAATTGTTCTTGAGAGAAATTTGGTTGCCATAGCTTCTATAGAGAGCAAACTGAGCTCTTCACAGACCAAATGATGACAATATTCTTCCTATAAAATGATAAACCCTAAAAAGGAGATGATATTCTGGAAGTAAGCCCCACATCTGTATCACTTTAAAGTGACTTTTATGCTAAAACACACAAAGTTGTCCTCATATTTGGCCAGTGGACACTTTGTCTACCAAAGTTCTCAATGCATTGAATGTAATATATAACATTGTTTCTGGAAGAAAAAAATATAGGAGGAAGGGAGCGGGGAGAGTGGAGCTGATGACACAGAAAAGGAGAAGGGAAAGGAGGAAGGAGGTTGGAGGGTGTACCTCTGCTGTTGGTGGGTGTGTGACCTTTATAGGCCATTCTTTTCTCTGGGCCTCCTGTCCTCAACAGAAGAGCATTGAACTAGCCCTTTGGTTTTAAATTTTTTTCTTTGACAGTGAAGCTCTTTTTTCTTTCCTAAACCACATCTATTGAACCCACATGTAAATAATGGACTTCTCTTCCTAGCAATGTGGTATCTGATCTGATGTAAATCTCAATCTTGCTTGCCTATACAAAATTGGTCTTGAAGTGAGACTGGGAAGTCACAGCTGAGACTTCCTCAGCTTGTAGGGAATGAAGAGGGAACCAGTTCTATTAGGTTGGTGCAAAAGTAAATGTGGTTTTGTATTGTTGAACTTTGCCATTTGATATTGGAATACATCCTTAAATAAATGTAGTTATATTATATATCATTTTAATGCCTATTTCTCGCTTTATTTTTTCTGCTAATGACATTACTTGCTGTGTATTTTAACATTCATTTTAGACTATGGAAATGATATTAGACAAAAAGCAAATTCAAGCAGTTTTCTTATTCGAGTTCAGAATGGGTCATAAAGCAGCAGAGATGTTGCATAGAGCCTGTAATAGTGCATTTGGCCCAGTAACTGCTAATGAACGTACAGTGGTCATTCAAGAAGTGTTGCAGAGGGGATGAGAGACTTGCAAATGAGGAGCGTAGTGGCTGGCCGTCCAAAGTTGACAGCAACCAATTGAGCAATCATCAAAGCTGATCCTCTTACAACTGCAGGAGAATTTGCCGAAGAATTCAGCATCATTCTACAATCATTTAGCATTTGAAACAAATTGGAAAGGTGAAAAGGCTTGATAGGTAGGTGCCTCATGAACTGACCAAAAATTTAAAAAATCATCATTTTGAAATGTCGTCTTCTCCTATACTATACAACAACAACCAACCATTTCTCGATTGGATTGTGACATGTGAGAAAAAAGTGGATTTTATATGATGACCAGTAACAACCAGCTCAGTAGTTGGACCAAGAAGACACCCCAAAGCACTTCCCAAAGCCAAACTTGGACCAAAAAAATGTCATGATCACTCTTTGGTGATCTGCTGCCAGCGTGATCCACTACAGCTTTCTGAATCCCAGCAAAATCATTACATCTGAGAAGTGTGCTCAGCAAATCAATGAGATGCACCAAAAACTGCAACACCTGCAGCTGGCATTGGTCAACAGAAAGGGCCCAGTCCTTCACACCTAACCACATTGCATGTCACACAACCAACGCTTCAAAAATTGAACAAATTGGGCTACATACGAAGTTTTGCCTCATCCATCATGTTCACCTGACCTCTTGCCAACCTTGGACTACCACTTCTTCAAGCATCTCAACAACTTTTTGCAGGGAAAATGCTTCCACAACCAGCAGGAGGCAGAAAATGCTTTCCAAGAGTTCATCAAATTTCGAAGCACAGACTTTTTACGCTACAGAAAAAAACAAATTTATTTCTCGCTGGCAAAAATGTATTGATTGTAAGTTCCTAGTTTGATTAAGAAAGATGTGTTTGAGCCTAGTTAAGATGATTTAAAATTCACAATCCAAAATAGCAATTACATTTGCACCAACCTAATACAGATGCTGGAGAAGGAAATGGCAATCCACTCCAGAATTCTTGCCTGGAAAATCCCATGGACAGAGGAGCCTGACGGGCTACAGTCCATGGGGTTGCAAGAGTCAGACATGACTTAGCAGCTAAACCACCACCATACCTCAATGGTCTAGTGGTTTTCCCTCCCTTTCCCTAATACAGATGAAGGGCTTCCCAGGTGATTCAGTGGTAAAGAACCTTCCTGCCAATGCAGGAGACACAGGAGACGGTTCAATCCCTGGGTCAGGAAGATCCCCTGGAGGAGGACATGGCAACCCATTCCACTATTCTTGACTGGAGAATCCCATGGACAGAGGAGCCTGGTGGGCTACAGTTCATAGAGTCACAAAGAGTCAGACACAACTGAAGCAACATAGCGCACACACACACGCAATACAAATGAAGCCTCAGTTGCACAGAGAGACTTATAGACATCGATTCTCATGGTTCAGGGCTGGGACTGTAATCCCTGTACAAAACTTAAGGTGGGGCTGCCTCCTGTGAGAAAGTGAGCCAGAACTGAAGCCTCTGCCTAAAGGCAGAAACTTGTAAGAGCTGCCTTCTCTGCTTAACCAGGAATAGAAAAACTCTGCCCATCAGTGGAAGGAAGAGTAAGAAGTTCATCTTTGCATGGTGTTCTGTGTGGGGAAATGCGATGTCCTTTGAAAAATAAGAGCCATGGTCTCTGCCACACACAGATGTAGATCTAAATTTAAGTGTCTTATATGATAAAAGAATTCTGAAAAATAAAACATACTGGTCCAAAACCACAAAAGCTATGAAACCCTGGCAAATGTAATTGCAAAAATACCTAGAGAGCTACAGAGAAACTAAACCCCCTCAAATAAACAAACAAATAAAAATCTTTCCAATACAAATTGCTAACCATGTGAGTTCACGAACTACCATAAAGGTCAGTAGGCCCAATAAATAAGAGGATTAGATAGTACAACAATCTGAAGAAACCATAAAATGAGTATGTTAAGAATCATTAAATATACTGAAAGGTTTAATAAAATAAATAAAATTCTAGAAACTCTAGAAAAGAAAAATATAGAAATTGAAAATTGAATACGTGTGTTAAACATCAAGTTCAAAACACAGCTAATGGAATCCCCTGTCAGTCCAGTGTTTAGGGCTCAGATTTCACTGCCAAGGGCCCAGGTCGATCCCTAGTCAGGGAACTAAGATCTCACAAGCCGCACAGCATGGCCAAAAATAAAAAAAAGTTAAGGAGAGGACTTAGAAAGATAAAAGTGGAAAATATGATATAAGTAGAATTAGAGGGTTCAACTAGGAGTTTAAGAAGGAAAAAAGGGTGGAGAAGCAAGCATTCAAAAGAGAATACTCCTGGACTTGCCTGGTGGTACAGTGGATAAGAATCTGCCTGCCATTGTAGGAGACACAGGTTTGATCCCTGATCTGGGAAGATTCCACATGCTGCAGAGCAACTAAGCCCATGAGCCACAACTACTGAAGCCCATGCACAGCCAAATAAATAAATAAAAAGCCAACAAACGAGAAACTCTCAGGTTAAGAGGCAACTGCAGAGATTGAACATTGCGGCTCTGCCTTTCTCTGAGCATTCCTTGAAATGGCATACACAAATTACAGGAAGAATTTCTTTGAAGGGCCATTAGATGAAGAAAATGCGATTCTTACATTGTATCCAGTTAATGAGGAAATTGTTGAAAACCATCAAGTGGAACCAGGTGTTTCCTCAACTTCAGAAGTCAAAGAGGAGGCATTGAATACAAATGATCAAGTTCCTCCTCCTCAAACAAATGAGCTTGAGGAAGCTTGTGGGAGCTCTAGCTTTAGAAGATCAG